TATATATATATATATATATATACACATATATAAATATATAAGTATAGTATTCCTTGTATAATAAATAAGTATAAATAAAGTATATATTTATTGTCCCTATTTATAGGCAAAGAGGAAAGAAGGAAGAAAAAAAGAAAAAAAAGGATAAAAAGACTATTTGCTGCTGCAGCAAGAAGTACTTATATCCAGCCCCACATGCATGCATAGTAATAAATAAATAAATTAATTAATTAAATAATTATCTTTTTTTTAATTAAATAAATATATTAATATATATAAATAATTAATTCCCTTTATTTAGATAAGTGTATGCATGCATTTGCTGCTGTTTCTGGTGTTGCTGCTGCACACAGCAGCAGGAGAGTATACTGCTGCTGCTGCTGCTTCTGCTGCTCGTGCTGCATTCATTGGTAAAAGGAGGAATTAATGAATAATTTATTGAATTTAAATTAAATAAATAATTATTAATTAATTTAATTTATATTTAATTTAATTTAATTAATTATTTAGCTAAGAAGACCGCCGCTCCCTTGCGGTGTATAGGGAGCTGTCGTCATTCATCCTATATATATCTTATTGTTAAGGTATAAAGGGGGGGTAAATAATCATTATTTTCTTTTATTTATTTAATTAAATTAATTATAATTAATATTTTAATTTAATTTCAAAGAAAATTCAATAAATTGATGCATTATTTATCTGCTGCTTCTGCTTAAAAGCTGCGCCGCTTGCAGCTGCTGCTGCTGGTGCTGCTGCTGCTGCTGCTGCTCCTGCTGTAGGAGCGGTTGCAGCCCCTTGGGGTGTATATGCAGCCCGTTTTTTGCGTTTGTTTTGTTATAAACAGCATTGTTTTGTATTTTATTACTTATTTACCTTATTTAATACATATAGAGATCTTTTGCTGCTGCTGCAGCAGTAACAGCAGCAGCAGCAGCAGCAATTTGTATATACAGACCACATAACAGCAGCAGAGTTACGCATTCGTTGCGTATAACGTAGCTTTCTTTTCTTCTTTTTCCTTTCTTTTTCTTGTTTTATTTCCTTTAATTATATTTATTAATCCTTTTTCTTCATGCTTCTTCTTTCTTCTTCTTCTTCTTTCCTTAACATTGTTTATTGCTAGGGCCTCTTATCAATGGTGGAGGCCCCCCAGCAAGAAGCAGCAGCAGCAGCAGAAGCTGCTGCTGCTGCTGTTGCTGTTGACGTAGCAGCAGAAGATCAGGCTGACGGTGAGAGTCCTAGCAAGAGGGGCATCAGCATTAACAACAACAACAACAGCAGCAGCAGCAGCAGCAGCAGCAAGAAGCTGCATGCAAGAAGCAAAAGGGGTACTATTGGCTTCTTACTTGGCATATTAACACACCTTCTTATAGGGTTTGCTGCGGGGGCCCTTGTTGGTGCAACAATAAAGAGGGCCCGTCTTAGGGGAGGGGGCCCCCTAGCATTCTTAAGGGCCCCCCGAGTAGAGGAGGAGGCCCCCCCCTATATAGAGGAAGAGGAGGAGGAGGAGGAGGAAGAGGAGATGCCCTCACCACCCTACGAGCAGCCTTATATGGGGGCCCTTCCTTCGTACCCTCCATTCCCTGATCCAGGGGCCCCCTTCTATCAGGGGGCCCCTCAGGGTTTTATACCTCCACCTCCTCTTCTTCCTGCTGCAGCACCAGCAGCAGCAGGAGCAGCAGGAGCAGCAGTACCACCACCACCACCATTAGTAGGTGCAGCACCAGGAGCACCACCCCCACCCCCACCCCTACCAGGAGCAGCAGCAGCAGCAGCAGGAGCAGCAGGAGCAGCAGGAGCAGCAGAAGCACCTGGTACTGGTGCTACATTAGTGCCCTTAATACCAGGTAGTGTACCTCCCCCACCTCCTGGGGCCCCCTTAATACCAGGGGCCCCCTCAATACCAGGGTTCTCCATACCAGGGGCCCCCCTTATACCAGGGTTAAGCATACCGGGGGCCCCCTTCCAAGGGGCCCCCATACCTGATACCTACCTCATACCATACCCCGGTTTCCCTCCTCCTCCAACGAGTATCCCTCCTCCTCCTCCTCTCTCTGCAGGAGAATTAGCAGCAGGAGGAGCTACTACTGCTGCTGCTGCTGCTGGTGGTGGTCCCCCTCCTCCTCCTCCTCCTCCTCCTCCCTCTGGTCCCCCTCCTCCCCCTCCTCCTCCCCCTGGTCCCCCTCCTACGTTATCTAATAATTCATTAGAGAGCCAATTATCTAAATTAAAACTTAAGAAAACAGCAGCAGGAGGAGCAGCAGCAGCAGGAGGAGCAGCAGGAGCAGCAGGAGGAGCAGCAGGAGGAGGAGGAGGAAAAGGAAAAGGAGTAATAGGAGGAGGAGGTATGTCATCAATACAAGAAGAATTAGCATTAAGATTAAAAACAAGAAAAGTAAATAATGATAATATTGAGGAAAAAATACAAAAAAATAAGGAAGAAATAAAAAAAAAAAAAGAAGAAAATAAATTTGCTCATGTAGCTAGGGCAATACAAGCAAGAAATCATTTACTAAAACAACATGATGATGATGATGATGATGATGATAGACAATATAGTGATGATGATTTTAATTAACTTTTTTTTTTTTTTTTTTCCTGCTGC